TTTTAAACAAGTTAGATGAATAAATTCAAAAAGAAATGATATAAAAGCATATTTAATGCAGAGAAAATGCGTGGCCAGTGTAAGCGCCTAAAGCACTACTTGCCCACAATGTCTGAGAACCACCACAAGGGTGCGCACTAACTCTATTAGTAGATGATAGGTAGGGAGTACAGTCAGTTGTACTGTGATCCTTATATAAGGGGCCTGGTGGGTACCGAAACATTGAGGGGACACTTTACTTTTCAGTATACCTGAAACTACAAACTAATATTGAATGTAATCTAATTGAAAAATAAAAAAAAAAACATTAGATGACATGGGGAGGAGGGTGTAAAATTAAAAGGGAAACAAGTACATAAAGTAATAACTACATACTTAACAAAGTTCTATGTTGCCTAAAATCTAAAAAAAAAAAGACTACTTTTAATGAATACATTTTAAATCTACGCTACGATTATAAGTAAAATAGGAATATAGGGGAGCCCTGGAGGAGGCCGCGCAACGGCACATCCAGGGCTTCGGGGTTAAGGTCTCCAGCTTTCCATCTCCTGGTGCCAGTCCCACAGCAACAAGGACAACAGTCAACATGCTGCTTACAGTTCTCGCCATCACCCGCTGGGTCACCTTGGACACGAGCGCTCACTCCTGTCAGGCTGGCAGGGAGTGTCCATGGCCACGCCCAAGGGGCACCTCAGGGCCGCTCTGGAGCCTGGCTGGCGGGTGTTTCAGATGGTGGCAGAACCAAGTCTCTTCCGGCATCCCCTGGGGCCACGGGAGGAAAGGGGACCAGGTTAGAACTTCAGTGACATCGCATCACAGGGCAGTTCAAACTGTGATCCACAGTGTGTCTTACATGCATGTCTCCAGGACGCTCCTGGGCCAGGGATGGATGTGGGGCACGCTGCGTGAGGACTCGAGGCGGTGGTGCCATCCTCGGGAACCATCATCTCCTGAGGGGAGAGAAACACTGTCAGCCAAGGCGCACACCTCCTCTTCGGTAACATGACCTTTTGAGCTATCTGCTCCCTAATTCTCAGCAGGGCTGGAAACCCCCAGGTGCCCAAGGTTTTTCTAAGCCCAGCTAGAGCCTCATCCTCAAACAGCACTCTGGTCCAGAACCTCTTACCGGTGTTTCAGTTGAGCCTCAGGGAACAAGGTGATCCGTTGAAAGACAAAGGCTCCTGATGTTGGTTGTCCTCACTTGTCACAAATTCACTTTCCTTTCCTCCTTTTCACTCCTGCAAAGTGGACAACAGAGCCAAGTTTAGATACAAATTAGATAGCAGGACACAAAGTAGAATAAATTTGTGATGGTCAGGGATGTTGAATGGGGCTAACCAACATATATGACTGAACAGACTAACTATTCTTCACTCTCTCACCTCTCCCAAGCACTTTTAGCACAAATGTAGAGAATATTGAATGCTCTTGTGCAAATTCTGAATGTAAATTCATAAAGGCCTACTTGAAATCCTTCTGACACTCAACTACAATAAAAAAATAGTCCAACCTCTAATTACTCCCACCCTTTCAATAGCTGCAACGAATACTCTTGCCCCGTCAACACCAATACTACTGTTTGGCACATACCTGCAGTCTCGTCGTCTCCCTTCTTCTCTCCTTGGGTAATCGATTCTCCTCCTTCCTCCTCCTCACATGGTACAGCTCTGTGCTGCATTAGTAAGTCTCATGCTGTCTTGATCTCTTAAAAGCA